TTCACCGTACGCAACACTTCGTATGCTGGAAGGATGTCAACTGTCACCAAGAATCTCATCAATGGAGTCATCAATTGCTCAGGGAATATCTTCAGATGTCAACCAATGGAACAACCAGCTAAATAAATACAATAAACATTTAATTTCATAAATGCTATAAATGCTGTTAATTCCATAAGAAGATTGCTTATACTATACTTTGCATGCATAATAGAAGTGGGACACTTCTTAGGGAGAGGGGGAGTAGTGTAACCTTTGAACTTTCAAGGACTCTATTATGGGATGTTCCCGCGGAGTCTCGCTCTCTCGTGGGGGTTCGTCGACTAGCCAAGCTGCGTCTTGTTGGAGGCTCACACTTTGTATAGAATAAAACAGTTAACATCCAGCTTACTTGGTGTCTGGCTCATTCATTGAAGTCCGAACTCATCTAGTAACATCCATAGAGAGTTACACTAGCGCTACCCCTGACAGAACAGAAGTGCTAGCAAGTCCTGGTTGGTGCAAATTTTGTTCACTCTTTTAGATGTCTCCTTAAGACTTGCAATTCATAAGCCAAACCAGTCACTCGTCGCAAAAATCGATTTTGAGTTATTAATACAGTATTAGAGAGTAAAATAATAGCTATAAAATGGTAAAAAATCATTTTAATCGGACATTTTCTTATGAAGTTACCAGTGTTTAACCACACAGCTGTTTAAAGAACAATATATGAGAAATTAACCGTCAAAGTTTATGATTTCAGGCATTTCTCATGCAGAAACTATCTTTAAATCCTTAAAAAGTATTGTTTTAGCATTGAAAATGGGGAAAATAACAGCATAGAATGATGTGTAGATATATAAAGGTTAGTTTAATGCAATAAAATAGATTCTTAAAAATTTGATATTTCAGCATATTTTGGCCATTTTCTCTGAAACACGATTTGCGACGATTGACTGGTTTGGCTTGTCTTTGCCACATATAATTAAAGCAGTGTCACAAGCAGTTTAGAGTTTGTCTCTTTACTTAATATATTTCAATATACTTTTTACATATACAGCTTGGAAAATATTTTCAAAAATCATTTTAAACCGAACTAATATTTAAGTATTGATATTTTTAGTGATTTTTCAAACCTACTGCAAAACTAATACCTACAAGTTGGTTTGACAGCGATTTTTATTTAGAAACTTGTCTATGAGCCTTTTGGGAATTCCCATTATTAAAGGTGTGCCATATTTCCAGTGCATGAATGAACATCATTTAGTTTCAAGTGAGTTTGCTTTTAGATAATCATGCTATGCAGTTTTATTTATCACTAATATTGTAATTCTAATATAATGGAGTAAATGTGCTCTTCAAGGTCAGGCCAATAATGTCTGCAAAAAACTAACCTGCTACGTTGATATGTTTACAGCCATCACCAACATCTGGGTTGTCTGATTCAGAGTTCAATTTAGAACAACCCCAGGCTTATACACTATGGTTTACTGCAATAGACAATTCCATAAAATATGGGATATATTCATTCTATAATTTGTTCAAGCTTGTTCAAAACTTAATAGCCCCTAGGGAAAACCACATTAAAATGGTTTAGGATGCTATATAGACTATGTCTAGGCCTTGCCCATAAAACAGCTATGTGCGTGCTATGGTACATTTCTAGCTAGGTAGTGCGATTATATAAGCACAATTTATTCGACTAGCAATAAGTTTTGCACTATTTATGATTTCAATTTATGCTTCTCCTTTAATTGTGGGATAAAAACATGCACTAAATCTTGATGGCTAAGTAGTTTATGGTGCCAATTGCTTTGAACTTCAAACTGTTGACACAAAATTGGATCAACATTTCATCTTGTATTTTACAGAAAAGCATCGGAAAACGCCAAAATTCAACCTATCTAGGATAGCAACAGTTACACCATCATTCCTACCAATCAATATTTGAATCAATTAGGTAAGAAATTGATACAAAACTCAGAACACCTATAGCAATCACTAGTAATCTTAGCCACACTATCAAGGGACAAAATAGTGTGAATTACCCATATATGGGCATGAAAGTCATATCACACCCATATTTGGGCATAATGATATTACTCTGTTGCTAGCTAGTAAGCCAATAAGTACTGTACACCGTGACTGATACCAAGTTTCATCCAAAAATATACTGTGATTCTCAATCAACAGTACAAGTATTGTAATTTAAAAAATTCAATAAAAATTAAAAAGAAATGGATGTTCTTCTGATATACCGCAGTGGGGAGGGGGCTATATCCCCCAGCCCCCTCTGGCGCCACCCCTGCTTGCACATCCTAGATTTGCCACTACTTAGCATACCCTGCAATTTACCCTATGGTCCGCCACTGAAATTAAGCAAGATTGAAGTCTAATGTTATGGTCAAAGCAGCTCATCAATCAGTCAACACCTTGGATTGCGTAAAATCCTTGAAACAATGTCCACAGCAAAATAACAATTTCAGAAAATGTTAATATTGTATTTTGGATTAATTTATTCATTCTAACACCTAGGACTCATAGTTTGACTAAATTGTAAAAGTCTATTAATCGTCACATTAAATTAATTCATAAGGCGGCTTCTAAATATGAGGTGACCTCAAGGGTAAGCTAGAAGGGGCACCTCCTATAAATATAGTTTTTAAAAAAACAACATAAAAATATATACAGTAATTTGAACTCAGAAAATATTTAAGCACATATTATTTATTTAAAAAAAAATTCCAATATACTGTACCATGGTATCTATATTGTCTCTACAGATGTCGGTATCCAAAGCATTACAGTTTATGGATAAAAAAGATCTTGAGTGTGCCATCTGCCTCAACAGGTTTCAACAACCAAAGACACTGAAATGCATGCACACCTATTGTCTACATTGTATCCAGAAATGGGTGGAAACTCATGGAAAGATGAAATGTCCAACATGTAAACAAGAACATGATTTAACAAAAGAAGATCTAAATAAGCTGGCTTCCAATGCAATGATAAGTCAACTACTAGAGTATGTCATGAAAACAGAGGATCAAAAACCACTTAAATGCTCTTTCTGTGACAACCAACCAGCATACCATTGCTCAACATGTCAACTGTATCTATGTGGAACTCAATGTGTCAAACAACACAAGGCACTACCTTCAACTAAGGATCATCCACTTTACACACTAGACATAAAGGAACCAGATGGCCAACCAACCAATTGCCAAGTTCACTGCAACACCCCACTGGAATTTTACTGCTCCAATTGCAACAAATCAGCATGCAAGCGTTGTGAACACATCCTTCGTTGTTATCAAAAACAACATGAAGTGATTCCAATGTCAACTGCCATAGAAGAATTTAACAAAAATGCCACTGAACTTGTCAAATTAGCACAGGAAATTGAAAATAAATTAACAGAAAAACTAGAATTCATTGATAAAAATAAGTCATTATGTAAATTACAACTAAAGTTAAGTAGAACAGCCATAGAAATTCAAGAAAATAAACTTATTAAGAAAGTTAAAGAAAAAAGTAAGAAATTAACTTTGATACTGGAAAAAATACATAAAGAAAAAGAAGATGCATTTGATAGTACATTTAAAGATACTGATTCAAAGAGAACTCAATTGAATAATCTAATGGCCACAGTTAATAAAATGATGAACAAACCAGAAGAACGAGAATCACTTGGATCCCATACGACAACTATCAACACAGTCAGAGACAAGGTCCTAGCAACTGATTTTGATAAATCATTTGATAAAATAAATATGACACCAAAATTCATTCCATGTTCACACTTGGATGAGTTGATGAATACAGAGGGCATCGGTAAAATCACAACTGCTGATAGCATGCTGTACGAGGTTGATGATAATGATAAAGAAATTACAGTCACAAAAGGACAATCATTTGTAGTGAAAGTATCCAGTCTATCAGAGAGTGATGTATGCCAAATTGCTGCAACATTAATAAACTCATCAGGTGAAAAATTACCAACTGAGGTAGAATATGATGAAAATGGACAGTACAAAATAACAGGTAGATGCAGTGTGGAAGGTGATTGGAAAATGAAGATAACTGCTAGAGATGAGCACATCAAAGGATCTCCAGTGAATATCAAGGTGGAAAAACTGGGACTTGTTCATACCACTGATAGCATATCTGATTATAAAGAACATGACAAGGAACTTAAAGTGACAGATGTAGTGTTAGCCAGAGATGGATGCATATTAGTATCAAGCCGTAGCAAATATATATTGAAGTTCAACCAATCAGGTTCATTTGTTGCTAGGATACAGGTGCCACAAAATGTGAAGGTCAATAGAATGCATCTAATGAGTGATGGTAACATGATATATAGTGATGCCATAGCAGAATGTGTAGTATTGTGTGATGAAAAATTGCAAGAAGTCCGTTCATTTGGTAAAGGCACGTTGAAATCACCATTTGGCTTGACATTAAACAAGGAAACTAGAGCTTTGTATGTAGCAGACATTAGTGCTCACTTTGTGTATAAATTCAATGTCGATGATGGCAGGCTACTGGGTAAGATAGGTTCAGCAGGTAGTGGAGTAGGTCAAATGAAGCAACCAAGAGATGTCACTTTAACTAAGGAAGGTCATGTGATTGTTGCTGACATTGGAAATGACAGAATACAAATGTTTGATGCAAATGATAAGTTTATGAGAATACTTGTAGGCACTGGTGAGAAAGATGGCAAAGTTTGGGGTCCCTGTGGTGTAACCATGGATATGGATGAAAATATAATAGTTTCAAGTAATCATAAATTACAATTATTTGATAAAAATGGTGTATTCATAACACGAATAGATCATAAAAATGATGGATTACAATGTCCACTAGGAATCACAGTAATCCCCAACAGACCAAGAAGAGTAGCAGTAGCCAATCACAGACCAAATAATGTAACAATATTCAATTATTAAAATAACACATTGAAAAGTTCATTAACAGGCTCCATTATTAGATAATGTAAAATAATACTTGTCATATCTACAATTTTTTTAATACATCAATAAATATTTTTGACAAATATATTCAATCAGATTCAAAGCAAAAGAGTGAGAAGAACTATCACACTATTAATGTTTATACATCACTCAATTAATTATTATATTCCATCAGATGGTAATTTTATTGTCATGTACAAAAAAAATATTGAAACTACAATATTTTTTAAATTTCTGTATTTATATGGCTGTAATAAATATTATAATACATTGAATAAATAAATGAAAATAATGAATGAATGAGCGAGTGAATGAATAAAAAGTTGCATGTGAGTTGACATGTCTCTGGATGAGCATAATCTAGATAGTTTTAATAGGAACAAACATAAAATTAGAATAATTATTATGAACTCTTTGTATTGAATTGCATTTTAAGTAATGATGTTGAGCACTGATACCCACTGAGAACTGTTCCTATATGGAGTCAAATTGAGTTGTGATGTATTAACTTTATTTGGTAATTAATTCCCAACAATTATAAAAATTCTTATGTTATATTGTATTGTGTTGTGTTTTATATGTTGTAAGCTACACTCTTTAGTAAAATTGAAAAAAAGTATTTAACTAAGTTTATAATCTTATTTAATTATTTTTATGTCCAGGGTAAAAAAAAAAAAAAAAACACAACAAAACAAATTGCTGTGTATATTTTGCTAATCAACTACAGTATAACACATATTGCACCAGCAAAAACACAGTAGGCATAATTATACTAAGTTTGTGTGAGATTTTTAGAAAGAGAATAAAATAAAAAAACACAAGTTTAATACATGAATGAGTAAACAGAACTATTTTATATTTGATTTCAGTCTGGGTTGTTACTAGGCCTATGTCAACTAGATAAATCTTGAATCCAATATTATTTTATCACACAATAACAATTGTATCAATGATAATTTTACCATCAATACACAGATGACAAATTTTCATTTTTGTACACGAATCAATGATCACAAAACAGATGTCACAATAAACACATTGGGAGTATTGACCAGGGCTGCCAGATCTACCACTTCAGCAATATTACAAAAACCAGCTAACACAGACCATGCCATACAACACAATCTAATGCCAAACTGGGAGGCTACCACTGGCAAAACAACCCCAAATGAAAAGACCGGCAGATCACAGAGTCTTTTTATAAGGTGTAACAAAGACAAAGTCATGAACAGGATAAAGGAGCACACGAAATCTCAACTATACAACCATCTTATCGAACCAACACACGGCCTGGATCAGCTGCACAACCTTAGATCAACATCTGGAGGATGTGTACGATGTCGTCAACAAGTGAAGTCATGACCAAGCTACAATACACCTAGTTGTCGTTAAAAAAAGATCTCCAAAAGGGATCGACACGTTTTGAGTAAGTACTCCGTTTACATTGTACAGTAGCTTTACAAAAATGATAATTTATCATCTATACAATTCTGAAGAAAATTAAATCTTTTCAAGATCAATGCACTTGTATGACACACTTAAATTCAGTAAGCTTATTTTGAGATGTTTCATCACATGATAATTAATAAATTGCATATTTCTTACAAATTCAAGAATGCTGATAATTACATTTTGACATATAATCAATCATCACATATATTTTTAATTTCATTTAAAAAGCCAAATTGTGGCCCAGATGCTGAATTGTATGATATTTACAGAGTTATATTAAGTAAATGTACTTATTTACAAACAGTACTTGTTAAAAGCTTAAAAAAAAAAAAAAAAAAAATGTAATAAAATTTACTTGGATTTAGTTTTCATATCTGAACTTTTACTGAATTTTTTAAAATGCTTTTGGTCCTTAAATTAAGAAATTACTACTATTTAAAAACTTTCTGTTATGATGATTATGCCATTTCCATGGTTTGGACATCCCTGTGATGGTAATAAGAGTTGTAGTGTAGTAGTAGCAGTAGTAGAGATTTTTAAAATCTTGTTATTTTATTTGGCTTAACACTGGAGACAATATAAAAAAAAGAGTAATCTAGTGAAAGAACATGTGTTGTCACCTCTAATAAGACACACCCTCATGAAAGATAATGAAAGTAATGATTTACCCCTCTTCCCATGCTGTTTCTGCTCCTTGTTCAGCCTGTATGTCGATTCGCTGAACTTTAATAATATACATGAACACGTCCTTGTTCCCCTCGATGTGTACCACCAGCCTGGTATCTCAAGACGCCATGCAGTTAGGTTCTGATTTGGCGATGCTATATTCTCTGGTCCACACCGTTCATCCTCATCCAAGAGCATGTCAATTGGTCCCATGCCTTGACTTAACTGGAGGAAAGAGAAAGACGAAAAGATAACATTGGATTTTGATTTATTCAATGTGACCATTATACTCATTGTGTGCAAATTAAAAAAATGATTAAAGGATGATTAAGCACCTCTCTATGGCTGCCATAGTCACTGGCGACACACGTATGCTATTTAACAAATGACACTGCAAGTTTGAACCTTTACCCTTTGACCTTTACCCCTGCCCAGAAACAGTATTACAATTTCATCAAGTCATTGTGTTACTGATTTACAAATGTTTGCATTTATATTTTTATTATATTGATTTTTAAAGAATAAAATATTGATTATTTATATGTATGTATCATGCTTCGTTCATTTTTGTTTGACATCAAAGGTGTTTAATTAATTTTACAGTTTATTATATAACTAAGTATTGTATAAGTAGCAGTAGATTTAAGACCAGTAAAATAAAACGTGATTATAAGTTTGATTTACAACTTACACTAATTTGACTTCCCTAAGGTTCCATGGGCATTTCTTGGTTACTGTCGGAATTATTACTGTGGAAAACTCCCCTTATTTTACTCCCTATCTTGTTGAACAGGGGTTCGTTTGACCTCTTCATGTTGGCTGAAGAAAAAACATAAAATAAACAAATTATTCAAAGATTTTGAGTCTTTACAATCAATCAAACAATCCGGTAATCAATCCATCAATAAATCAATTAACTAATCTATCGATCAATCTAATATTAGTTTACAAAAAATTAGATAATAGATACCACTTTCATAAATAGTCAGGAATCAGAACCATTGTGTCAATAAATCAATTAGCCAATCAATCAATCAATCTAACATTAGTATGTGAAACGTACTGGTAGAAGATGATGATGATACATAGTACATAGTAACTAAAAATCACACCAACAAAATAATAAAGAAGAAATATGTTTATCCTATATATGGACACATGCTCTCACTCATACCTTTCCTTGCCTTCTCAGGTTTTCTCCTCTCTTACTTCTCTTTCCAATCTGACCAAGTCCTCTTGGTCCGGTCAACCTCAATTTGATTCCCTATGTATTGGTTGAGGACCGATACTCCTGGGTTATAATACCCAATAAAGTTTCAAAGAGGCGAATCTATTAGTTTTAGTGAATATTTACCATTATTAACAATAATGTAATGTAAAGTACGTAACAACATGATAGAGGCTTCTGGGAAAACTTGATTGAGCATCACCGTCAATAGCACTACGCATGAAGACTGTCTAAATCACACGGGATATCAGCGAAGTCACAAAAAAGTCAACCGACATTTACTTTATTGGATTGAAAATGACTCAAAACACAAGCAATAAAAAGTGCATGTCGATTATGACCCTAAACAGTCTCATAAAAAACTTGATAATACTATATCAACAGACCCTACAGTGCTACACAGACATACATTACAGTAACATATATGCACGCAAAAATATAGATTTATGTTAATACAATTTCATTTATTAGCTATTGCATTTTAATACTGAAGTATTGCACTGGGATCATTTTTTAAAATAAGAACATATATGAAACTTTCTTCCATTGCTGGAATGACACAATGTGGGCATGGATTCTTCCATGTGGTGGCTCATGATATTTTTGTCTAATTATGAACAGCATGTTTGTAAAAAATATATTTAAGTCGCCATTAATTTGTCTCAATTGCTGTTCAGGTATCTGTGTAAAATACATATTCTACATAAAAGATTTAGACACAACTGAAAACTATGCTACATTAACATACACAGTAAACATATTATATAGAAAATACTGATTATATATATTGTGTATACAATTAATTAAACTATGCATATCTTTTTCTGTACATACATACCAGTGGCGGCAACATCTTTTCCCCAACAGATGGCCCAGTGTTCTCCCACAAATTGGCTGCACCCACCTCAGCCCCACGATGGTTGGAGCTCAGGGTAAAACATTTTAGGTTTGTCACCTCTGATGCCCGAAAATGGCATTCTCGATCGGACCAGCTTTCTCTGGTTTAGAAAATTATTATAATTGATCGCTGACAGATTTTACTGCAACTACGTACGTACCTGATGGCTGGACCAAGCCCTGCCCAAGCTAGCCCAACAGCTGGCGCTACCCCTGATACAACAGAAGTGCCAGCAAGTCCTGGTTGGTGCAAATTTTTCTCACTGTTTTAGATGTCTACTTAAGACTTGCAATTCATATAATTAAAGCAGTGTCACAAGCATTTTAGGGTTTGTCTGTTTACTTATATTTCAATACTTTTTATACAGCTAGAAAATATTTGCAAAAGTCATTTTAAACCGAACTACAGTAATATTTAAGTATTGATATTTGTAGAGATTTTTCAAACCTACTGTACATAAAAGCTTCTTTATTAGCACAACTAGTAACTACAAGTTGGTTTGACAGCGATTTTTATTTAGAAACTTGTCTATGAGCCATTTGGGAATTCCCATTATATATTAAATGTGTGCCATATTACTATGAGGCGCCATCTGTTAACTTATTATTTAGCAAAAAATAACATGGCTTTTTACGTTATATATTTATATATTATTTTATATAATATATAATATTTTATATAATATATAATATTTTATATAATA